GTGTTAAACCACCACATCTCCAGCGTTAAACTTAATAAACCCATAATCTGCAATTTTTGGTTTGGTTCTTCTTGTTTCGGGTTGGTTTTTTTTCCAGTAGGTATAAGGTTTTCTGGGCTGCCTAAAATCCCCTAATTCCCGTGGAATGGGGCTGGTTTTAAGGAGCGGAGGATCTGCTCCGACACAGATCGGTGCAAACCTGTCAGTAAGTGACTGACACACATCAGGTGTGCCAGGGATGTGCAGGACAGGAGGAAAAGGCCTCTAGTTGCACCAGAGGAGGTTTAGATGGGATATTAGGACAGATTTCTTCACCGAAAGGGTTGTCGGGCGTTGGAACAGGCTGCGCACGGAAGTGGTTGAGTCACCATCCCTGGAGGGATTTAAAAGCTGCCTAGAAGAAGTGCTCAGGGACACAGTTTAGCGGTGGACCTGGCATTGCCGGGCTAACAGCTGGACTCGATGATCTTAAAGTTCTTTTCCAACCTAAACCATCCTATTGCAATGCTCTGCAGAACATTTCCACCGTCGCACTCCCGGTGTGCTCTGGTCACCGTGCTGCTGGACTCCTTCATTAACTTGCACCCAGTGCACACCTTGCTGTTGGTACTAAGTGTACAATCACAGGTACTTTCAGCGTGTGCAGCAGCGATCTCTGTTTAAAAAACATTGCCACTGAAAGGAACGTTTCTTAAGGGCCTACATTATTATTCAAATTGATGCCGAGAATGATGTAAAGAAGGAAGCGTGTTCAACAGCACTTCACTGATCTTTCTATGGGAAGTTATATCAGCCTCATTATGCTGTTTATACAAACACGGTGAGATGCCGTCCCCTTGGTATTACACTACTAATTGGAACTACTACCTTCAGAACGAAAAAGTAAGTTTCAAAGGCCAAAATGGAAACCTGGTTTTAGTGTGTAACACAGCGTTCCTTTCTCTGCCCAGCTCCGTTGGATTTATCGTTACAAATCCACTCTGACCTATCCAAGCATTTTGTACACTATGTTTATCACCGTATGTAATCAGTACAATAATCTTACTTTGCTCTTTTACTGTTGAGTTTCACAAATAAATATGGCATTAATGTAAAATGGATTGTGTTTGGCATAAACACACCCAAAACGAATTCTAGGGTTGTTTCAGACGATGATGGGTGGTCGGTGCAAGAACTGCCTTCTTGCAACAACTTGTCTTCTTTTTACACCCACCCCTGCATAGGTCTGATCCCACTGGTTTGTTGCATGTGGTAAACTTGGGGCTTATTCCAGAGTTTGATTAATATGAAACTATGCGATTTTTACTCTGTAATAAACACAAAACATAAATTTTGCAGATATTCAAGAAAAGTAGGGACAAGTAGAAAACTTTATGGCAGCTATGCTTCTGTCTTCATAGACCAAAGATTCACCTCTCTTGTTTTCTGTTCTTTTTTTCTGATTCAGCAATAGGTAAGCCAAGAATGTCAGCAGCGAATATCTCTGCTGTGATTTCCTCTGGAATTTCTTCTTCGCTCAAAGCTGCTGCACCTGGAGAGCAGTAACAACACAAAACATGCAATAGCTATGTAAAAATGGCTTTCCAGATCAGTAAAATATAAGAGCGGCAGTAAGTGCATGAAATGCTTTTAAGGATGTATGAAGTAATAATTAAAAAGTATTGGTTTACTGGCTTAATACTTAACGTGTTCGTGTCAGGGATGGAATCTGTCGAATCCACGAGGCTGCGAGTCTCACCTTGCAGTAGGTCCCTGCCTTAGAAGGGTCAAGAGGCCAACTTTTACACTTTTATGGTTTGATGTGATTTTAGGATGTCGAGGATTTCAAAGATGCTTTGCAGTGCCAGGCAGTTCCCCGCAGGGACTGCACCTTTGCTGTGTGTGGCCCGTTGCCAACAAGCCAAATCAGATGCTGTTCTGGACTGTTGTGGACTGGGACAAAAACTGTACGGAAATGAGGCACCTCACAGCCATTCCAGTTACAATGGGCAACGCCACTTGGCTGAGATCAAACGCTGTAATTTGCTGGTATAGACTGAGACACAATTGGTGTAGACTGAGACACGAGTTGTAGGCAGATGCAGGAGTCATCAACAGCTCGGTCACGGTGGGCATCGCCGCCTGGATGAAATCAACACTGCAATTTGCATATTGTAGGATTCCTTTTTGCCTGTGGACTTTGGCAGATAAACCTTCCACTGTGTGTTTCTAATTTCAGTGCCAATGTAATCTTGTCAGGTCCCGGTTACATTTCATTGTCCATTTATTTTCAGATACACCCATGCAATTGCTGCACGGACGAAGGACAATTTCTGACTATTTTTGCAGTCCCGTCTGAGCGTTTCTGACAGCTCTTGGCAATTTAAATTATTCCATTTGGGAACTGAAGCAATCCTGCTCCTGTGCTGTGTGGAATGCTAATCCTGTACCTGCAGGATCGTCGGTGTCCGGTTCAGATCCTCCTTATTTTCAGATACACCCATGCAATTGCTGCACGGACGAAGGACAATTTCTGACTATTTTTGCAGTCCCGTCTGAGCGTTTCTGACAGCTCTTGGCAATTTAAATTATTCCATTTGGGAACTGAAGCAATCCTGCTCCTGTGCTGTGTGGAATGCTAATCCTGTACCTGCAGGATCGTCGGTGTCCGGTTCAGATCCTCCTTGCGCCGGACGCCTGCCCAGGAGGGTGGTCAGACACTGTGCCAGCTCTTCCTCGGTCATCTGCTCCCCTGGACACAAGAAAGCAACACCAGCCTCTTGGGTTATGGTGTCATTAGAACAAAAACTAGAAGGCAGCAAGAAAAGGGTACAAAGAAAACAGGGAGGTTTGAAAGAGGGTCCAGTTTCTCTGAGGAAGAGAGATACACAGCACCAGTTGACGTGCATGATCCCAACGCAAGAAAATCTCAATCCTAAGGAAAAGTTTTCTTGTGTATTGCATTTGGGGAAAAAATATCAAAGGAAGTTCCAATGCAGATGGCTCTGTAGGCTACACAGCACTTGCAGGGCCTTGAGCTTCTGTTCCCACAGAATAATTCCTGGCACAGGGCAGACCACAGTCCGTGTAGCCCCGCGTCCGTGGCTGTAGCCATTTCCACACAGAGAAGGAAGAGGAAGGTGCAGGGAAGCTTTGATGTAGTATCTTGGACTAACTTGGACATAGCACTTGTTCCCAGACAGTGGTTGGCTTGTGCCCTGAAGTGTAAGGTTATTGATCTGTTATGAAACTGTTCTAATGAACTAAACCATCCTCTTTCCAGTCTTTCACACATAGAGTCAATCCAGGACTGACCAGTTTCACCCCTCCTGTCTTGTGCTCCTCTTTTTCAGGTCTATCCTACCTTTCTGGAGACTATGTGACTGGAAGAGAGACCAATGTTTCAGGTAAGGGTATAGTGGGGAAAGGATACAATTTGGCAAGATCCGTACTTGGCATTTGACAGACAGGATACCTCAGGGCAGCAGAGGTTTCCACAGCAGTAAAAGAGGTGCAGCTGAGACAACAGATGTGATTATTCAATTTAAAATCTTAAAATGTGTGGCTCCACATGCCTGCCCTGCTTACCAAGCTATAGTTCCAGATTAATTTTTTTGCTGCAGTGAATACCTCCTGAAATTGAAGGCAGAACTAGCAAGCATAAAACTAATATTGGAAATCTCTCACCTCTGCGCTGAAGCAGCAACAGTAAGTCTCCTCTGTCAATAGCTTTGTCTCCATTCTCATTATCATAGCCAAGAACCTGAAACGCTCGTTGTATTTTTCTCATTGACAAGCCAAACGCAGGTCGATGATTTATATAAAGTTTGATAAAATCCCCTAAATTGATTTTTGTCACTTGTTCTCCAGTATCCACATACTTGCTGAATTTTACTTCGCTTATCATTTCTTCAATCTAAAGATCAAGGCAAGACAGATGGTTACACATTTCCTTTCTGAAAAGCATCAGGCCAGTTTCTCATCTCATGAATGCCAATCTACTGTAATCGCGCACATGCTGGTACCACAGGTGCCACGACTGTATCCCAAGAGGATGGACATGGCTAACAGCTACACAGTTGTGGTTATGACAACATAGGTAAAGGGGAGTGTAGCAGCTATGGAGCTGGTTTTAGATTTCCTCTCTTTTCTTATGACAGGCACTTGATGACTTGGCAGCTGTTACCGATACCTTTGCCACAGCTGTGTCTCTGCTCTAGGGACAGTGGGCAGGCAAACCACAAACCAGTAAACATACCACCCCCCTACAAAAGTACGGGTACAAAAGTCCCAATATAACTGGGCTGCACACAGGGTATCCACACCCCGGCCAGCACGAGCATATCTGCCACTGCACAAGCCAAACCTTAAATTTTCTCGGTGAAATTTGCCTCGACATCCTGCACAGCGAGATCGCTCGCTCTTCTCTCTGGCAAATGGGCAAGCACTGGCTGTGCTGGATACTAGTGGTTTTCCTGAAGTCTGGTGCTGTGAGTCAGCCGTGCAAATGTGTGTCCGAAAGGCAGGATCCACTCTGTGCCTTCGTTGTACTCACGCTCCGCGAGGCAGCCCCATCAGAGATACATGGGCAGCAGAGAAACGCTGGGAGAATTCCCTGTGCCAACACGTACCAGGCGTGCTACTCCCCAGGAAGGGAAGCTGATGCAAGATCTCTCCAGGGAGGACTTTGCATTCAGCCTTGGGCCTTTGTCCTTGTGTCACAAGTTTTTCCACTGAATGAAGCCCGGGAAACAGGGAAATCTCAGCCTCACATTTTTTCCTGTAGCGAATGTCACACCAGGCAAGAATGGTCATTTTCACTCAGCTCAGGCTGAACTGGGATTAGGTTTTGTATCAGCCCCACTGAACTACAAAAGGAAAACACCAATTCCCAAAAGCTTTCTTAGTCAGTCTAAGTTGCCTTTTCTCCCTCCTGCTTTTCCTGTATTAAAGCACTCTAGAGAGAGATGTACTTCTCTGGATTTTAATACTGTCCCGCCTGCTTCGAAAAGCAGATTGTAGGTTGCCTGGTTTCACAACAGCTTAGCACCTGTTTCCATGCTTGAAATGCTGTTTTCATTTTGATTTGGGGTGAGGGGAAGGGGAGAGTTAACAGTTATTCTACCAGAGACATTTCCCAGGGAAATACCTTCGCTCTGTCCCCAACAGGCAAAAACGTAATAACCCGAGGAAAAGACCTAACAAAGTACAGGGGATAACACCACGGTTTGACACAAGGGCAAAGCAGTCCTGGCTCAGATTAATATTTTTCTGGTCACGGGGGGCTCCCAAGCAAATTTGTTGGGTGGTGGCTGTGGCAAAGGTCCTGCCTCCCATCTGCTGGCTCTCCTGGCAGAGAGTCTGCCCGGGCAGATGGGTGGCACTGACTCACAGCACCATCTCAGCAGCCTGTGGGGTTCCTGTGCAATAGCAGAGATGAACGCAGCCTCCCCCGCAGAAAGATGAAGGGAGCACAGCGACGTGCCGCTTCCCTTGGGAGAACCCCTCCTGCGTTGACAGGCTGTAGCTGGTGCAAAGAGGTCATTATTTAAATCTCCTTGCATCAGATTCAGCATTTTTATTTTTTTTGTATGCACTTTAATTACCCTTTTGACAGGTTACAGCATTACAAATGAGGTTTGTATACAATACAAACTGCCTTGTAGATACAGCCCCAAAAGGGGAGGAAGCAGCACCCTTATTAAATCAATTGTCTTTGTCTGCTGTGAAATTTGGAGCTAAAAAGTGGTTAAGAAATGTTTGATAGGAAGCTCCACTGCTACAACCTGAAAGGCAAGCTCAGAGAGAGCTTGTGCAGAGTTTATCAGTTATGAAAGAGCTTTAAGTTCCAGGGGAATAAAAGCTGCTGTCTCCATCTAAAATCATTCCTCAGTCCCAAGGAGAAGAAGAAAAAGAGGCTCTGTCAATGTCCAAATGAGTGATTGCATGGAAGCTGGGCATTCCCAGCCACGCTGGTAACACATGCAGGACACTCTGGCTGAGTCTCCACCTGACCTGGAGGGACATAGCCCATGGGCCACCAGCCACACTCCACGCGTAAAGCAGCTCAGCCACCAGTAGAAGCCACAGAGAGACCAAAGCATGTTGCTGCCTGCACACAAGGTACTTTAGACCATGTTGGAAGTTTCTGCCCATAAGAGCTGAAGGAGGATTAATTCCTCAGCTTTCTCAGTTCACTTTCTGAAGAAACTCACCTTTGCAGCGGTGGCAGAGCACTCAACCTTCAGAAGACCCCGAGGTCACCTTTTGTTGAAGGCTTCTGAACCATTAGGCTCCAATTTTGCTCAGCCTACCCCTGTGGTTGCCCCTCATTACTTTTTGAGGAATTTGCTGCCAGATTTTGACGGCTTCTGTATAGACGCAAACCAGGTTAAACACGTTGAAAGCAGCAAATATACTCTGGAGCCATCCAGCATTGCAATGGTCAGCACCTGGCCCTGGGGACACTTGTTAAATGCAATCGATCTTGCTCTTTTTTGACAACAACAGTAAAAAACAACTGACTGACCTTTCCCTCTGATGGGTAAAATCCCATTGCTCTCATTACAGAAGGAATTTCCTCCAAGGGAATATGTGTTGACACCTGTCTGGTCTCCAGCGTATCGATGCCCTGGCTGCGCAGCTGTGCGTAGTAAAAATAGTCTTCCAGTTCCTGCGAGGGATTCAAAGAAAACACTGTAAAGTTCAGTTACCAACAGGCACGGAAGATAAGGCTTCCTTTAAGATTTACTAACACGCATATCAATGAGATTGCTGTTAAAGGCGAGCTGGACAAAAAAATAAAGAAACGTCACGCCTGTATAAATGAATTTTAAACTCCAGCCAGCTGTTGCCAGACAGTGTTCACGGTGAACATAATTACCCTGAAGAATTCGCCTTCTCTACCACCGTCCAGTAGGTTGTAGAATGGGATCAAGTCCTCCCCACCCAGAGAAGCAGCAGCATCCAAGGCACTGGCAGAAGCAGAGAAAAGAAGGTACAGGAAGGGTTTGTATGAGGAGAGATTTCATGTTTGCCTTTCTAGTCATTGTTCACAGACATTCAGTAAATAAATAAAATTCCTGGGCCTCAGAAATCAGGAAAGAGGAGCATCGCCTTGAACCATGTACCATTTTATCATCAGTTTGCACTTCTACAGCGTATTTCGTACCCAGGTTTTACATACAATAGCACAGTGTGGGAATTAATTATTAGTGAATGGTCCTCTTGTTTAGTGGAATGAGCACAGGGCTGGGAGCCAGGAGCTTTTCCATGGACTTGAGCTTGGTGTCTGGCATTTAGCTTTTCTACTTCCTTATAGAGACATTGAGGGAGATGAATTAGCTAGATCAGCATTTTCGCAGAAGGGGCTGGGGCTCGGTGTTTGCAATAAACCACCCAAGGCTAAGCTCCCTGTTCCTTGATCTAACGCATTCTTCCCCAATAACTCAGTGCAACCCATTACTCTACTTCCTCTGCCCTGGCGAGTGACTGTATCACAGGTGCTGCCTATATCAAACTGAAAGCGTCTCAGTGCCACCTCTTTGTTTCTGTTTCGTCGGCAACTGGAGCCAAAAAGAATCTGTTTGGCTTGTGCAGATGAAAAAAGGAAACCAAGCCTGGCAGCGGAATCATGGCGTAGCATTGCCACGTAATACCCCATGCCTGGCAGCAAGGCTGCAGCTTTCGCACACACCTCTGTAGAGGTTTTTTTGCAAGCTTCATGCTTTTTTCATAATTAAGTTATTTGGGTATTAAAGACAGTGGAGATGCGCAAGATGCCAGAAGCAGCAATAAAATGATAATTAGCCCATCAAGAGCTTTGCTCCGAAAACAAATTACATAGAAATTCAACGTTGCCTGGACCCTGGCCAACCATTATAAAGAAGGATCATTTATATTCTATTGCCTTCTTTAAAATGTCGCTTATTCTGACCCCCGACTGCTTAAGCCACACAAAGTGAAAAAGAAAATAAATAAGTCCATTGCCTTCCCACCCAGATTTCCTTTGTTCTGGCACATGAAGGTGAGCTGGCTCAGCACCCTTTGGGCTTTCCTTTAAGGGAGAAGTACCTGCAAGAAATATTTTACACAGGAGCAGCGCATGTCAGCCACGAAGCCTTTATCCTAGGAAGATGAGGGGCAATGGTGTTTCACAGGTGCACCCAAAAAGAGAAAGGGCTAAAAGCCAGCTCCTGTGGGGCTGACTGACAGAAATCAGAAGTGCTCTATGCTAGGAGGGTGACATGCAGGATAAAAAAATATCCCAGAAACAGACCAACAGAGACCATGCCACTCTGTCTTTTCTAGCTCCGACACCTGGTAAGCTCCCTTCCCAGTCCTTGAAACGTGAAGGTGGAGTTGTTCTACACTGTCCTGGCAGTTTCCAGCTTCTTCACAGCTGCCCACTCTCTTTGATGGGCACACGTACCCACCAGGAGTCTGCAGCCACACTTGCGAAGGGAGAGTCCTCTGCCCTCCACAGCATTGCGATGAGCAGCTTTGTTCCTTGACATTCAAAGAAACCAACATATATATATCCTTCCTTTGCCACGTTAGCTGCCTGCACACGCCTGGCACCGCTGCCCAAGGGAGCTGGCAGAGGGAAATTGCACATTTGCAGAGAAAGGCAGGGCAAACCTGGCAGCGTTTATTGCTGATGCTCCGGACCAGAGCCTGGAAATCCTCATTTGCCAAAGCTGCCTTTGCTTCCCCAGCCACTCCATTTACTGCAGTCCATTTACTCGTGTAAGCAAAGCTTTATAGGATTAATGTGGCTTGTCCTAAATCCAGTCTTCAAATGCAGGGGGTATTTCCTAGCAAATGCTGGCCTATCCCATTTGGAAAGCAGGCACTTTTGTACCAGCAGCCACCCTGCATGCTCCTCCTGCAGCCAGTGCCTCTCGTCTGATTCCCTGCCTAACACTGACAATTCCCCATCACACTGGCCAGGCCCTCACAAGGACCAGAAAAGCCTCTGCTCAACTTCTTACCATTTGGATACCGTTTCCCAGACTGGAGTATTTTTATTGTGCTATGACCTCCAAAAAAAAAAAAAGGCAAGGTCTGCTTGTTTAATCCCCGGTATGACTACATGGCTACATCACATAGAGGGGAGCTCAAATCCCTCCTGTTTCAGCTGCCACGTAGCTACTTGCAGTCTGACAGGTCATTGCAATCTAGGCTGACCCCACTGCCGTGCCACAATCCCCAGCGCGCCACATGCCCACCATGCTAGGCTGTCTGTAGGTGCTGAGCTGAGGCTTTTGGAGAGCCCACGTGAATGCAGGGCGTGAGGCTCCACTATTAATAAATCCAGTTGCAGACTAGGTGTCCAGGAGCTGACAGCCCCTAGAGTTGAGCAGAGATGCCACAAGCTTCAACTCACGCTCCTCTCAGCAAGCGATGGATCTCTTTCTTGCACGAGTGCTGGGACCCATTCTCCACACCGTGACTCCCCTCGCCAGATGTGGTTTGTCAGCCTAGTCAAGAGCATGGTGTTGTGGAAGGAGAGCAAAGTTGCTGGGCTTTTTCACCTACTCCAAAGAAAACCCTGTGCTCAAGAAAACCCTGCAAAGAAACGTTCCTTGTGCAGCACCATGCTGTGCTGCCCCACTGGTGCATCCCACACGTACATCAGAATAAGCACAGAAAGAGCTGAGAGACCTGGTTTTATCTCCTCTGGACACAAGCAGAGACCTTTTAGGACAAAAGCCCTATTCCCATTGTAAATGCTGACTAATATTTGCTTCAGCTGTGTTGGCCAAGCAGCTGTGGAAAGCCACAAGACAACTCCCTTCTCCTCCCTGCAGTACTCACTTTAGGTTGACCTCCCATTTCATAACAGTGCAGTCGCTCCCCCCTGCTGTAAAGACGTAGCGTCCGTCGTAGGAGCTAGCAAGGTCAGACACACCATCGGGGTGGCACATGAAAGCTGAGGACTTGTGGGGGTTGCCGTCGACAGGCAAAATCTGCAAGCCCACCTGTAGGAAAAGAGGGAGCTGGAGGGCTGCACGCTGGGGCAGCGCTGCATCCTCCTCCCAGGAGCTCACTCAGCTCTCAGGCAGGACCAGGCTACAGGTGGTTATGTCTGCAGGGAAATTCCCCCCAGGACCACCACTGCTATGAGTAGCAGCTCTTGTACAGCTGGGACTCCGTACCTTGTCCTTTGTGATGAATGCCAGATAGTGTTTCTGGGGATCTGTGGTGTTTGTTGTTGGGAGGATTTGCATCTTCTCCAATGGGGAGCCATAGGTAGGTCCCAAAAGGGTCTTTCTAAAAGCAAACAACATTTTCATGCATTCTAGGGCTCACAAAACATTTTTCTCTCTTTGAACAGATGCTGTTCAAAAGAAGGGGCGGATATAGGGAGCTGTGGTGGATTTGTGCTATTGGCTGACAGCACAGGACAGGGTCCCTGGCTAGAAGAGACCACAGTGGGGCTAAAAGAGGAATTTAGCACTCAGGGATCTCTCAGTCCTCGTGCTTTGCTCATGTGGGCTCCTGTCTTTGTCTGATGTTCAACTGTTGTGTCTCAAGTCCAACATACTGGGTAGACCGAGACCCACCCACAGCCACAGCCTTACTAGATGACATGCTAGTGACCAGCAGAGTGGACACAAGGATGGAGCAACCCGGGGTCCCTAGAGTCACCACAGGATCTGCCTCACAGACGAGCAAACACATGCAGTTGGGTGGGAGTAGGGCAGAGGAGAACATAGAGTCAGGATGGGGGTCCCAGGCGGTGGTAGACCTGAATCTCTCCTCTACCTGCATATTTTGGTCGTCGCATTGTAGAGCTTCATTTTGTAGCAGTTGTTGGCAGTGAGGATAAAGGACTCAGTGCTGAGCTGTGGGTACCAGGCCAAACACAGAGGCACAGCAATCTGCTCCACCCGGTCCCTGTGCAAGACCACCAAGTGGTCCTTGCTGCTGCTGTTCAGGTCATATTCAACCTGGAGGGAAGATAACGAAACCCAACAACCCCCTATGATCTTCCCTGACACCAGGCTGAGAAACAAGCCCCTGTGATGGGGCTGGTGGGAAGGAAGTTAGGAGCTGCAGAACCAAACACCGAGTCTCCCTCCATGCCCTTGTCCAGCCCCCAACTTTCACCACAAAACTCCACTGCCCTTTTGACTCTCACATCGACCTACCAGCTGCCGGTCCTCCCCAAGGCTCAGGAGCCTGGGCTCATTGCTATCTGACTGCACCCCAAAGAGGATGCTCCGGATGGGTTTGTAGTGAGAATGAAGCCCTGCTAGGTGTTCCCAGCATCTGCTTCCGTTTTGCACGACACTCTTGTAAACAGTCACCGCGTATTTCTCATCCTGGAACAAAAGCACAAAGGTCAACGAGCCACGATCCCCACGCACATCCCCTGGCTGGCTGTGGGCAGCTTTGCACATCCCCTCTGGGCTTAGCTCAGCCCTTTCTGTTCTGCGAGACCCAGCAGGAGGCTTAGAGTCACAACCGGGATAAAACACTGGGTCAGGGAGATTTGGGCAGTTTTTCCTGAGGGCAGCACAGCAGCAGTCGTCAGCCTGGCAAGAGCATCCCAACTAGCTGGAGGGCATCCCCCAACTGTACCCTCACAGCAGAGGGGCACTAAACCAAGTTCAGTGACTCCTCAGAAATCATGAGGGAGATGCTTCCCACTGCTGTGCCCTGGCATCTGTGCATGGAGGGGGAATCTTTTTCTCTGCACAGATCATAGAACGGTTCGTGTTGGAAGGGATCTTAAAGATCATCTTGTTCCAACCCCCCTGCATGGGCAGGGACACCTCCCACCAGACCAGGTCACTCCAAGCCTGGTCCAACCTAGCCTTGAACACCTCCAGGATGGGGCCATCCACAGCTTCCCTGGGCAACCTGTGATTCTCTGATCTAGTCTAAATCTACCATCTTTCAGTTTAAAGCCATTACCCTTTGTCCTATCATCACCAGCTGCTTCAACCTCTGTGCCAAACTGCTTCAACAGTTCTGCACCAAGGTGTGGGATCAAGAGAGCAACCCACCTCATGGTGCACCAGCCGAGAGGAAATCCCTGCTCCAGCCCTTTCCACAGACAAATGCGGAGCTAAGGCTTGTCGCTAAAGTAAGTGATGGGATGCTGCCAGCAGCAGATCTGTGGAGTTGCTGGGACTGGTGACGTTTTTACAGAGTGACTCTTCAAGCCAAGAAAAGCATTTCAGGGCCATGAAGACCCTGGGGAGGGACAGCCCTCCTCACCACTTGCTCTGCTGTGCCTCGCAGGGTGGCCAGCAGTTCCCAGTCCCACTGAAAACCACAACATGAGCAGCATGCGTAAATCACCGAGAGGAAAAAACAAGCTTACAGCAGTTGCGATGTACTCGGAATCGTGAGAGAAGCTAATATGAGTTATGGGACCGTGCGAGAACTTGAACTCTTTGCAGCTGGACTGAAGAGAAATGGCATCGAGGATGTAAATGCTTCCATCAGTAAAACCAGCAGCCAAAAAATAACCTGAAAAGCATGCCAGAAAACTCTCATGACGTGATTGCTCCTCGTGGGAAGCCCAGTGCTTGGCACATGGGGAGGGGCACGAGGCCAGGATACCTTTGGGGTCATAGGACAAGCACTGGATGCCAGCCTTGGTGAAAATCCTGCTAACAAGGTACTTGTTCTGCTGGTAATCCCACACCTTCAGCAGCCCACAGTGACTCCCCACAGCAACAAGTCCCTGCCGGGGGTGACAGGCGATGGCATTCACAGCTTTCTTCGCCTCTTCCATGACTTTTTCAAAGTCTGTCCTGTCTGTTGCAACACGGAGCACGGTTGCATCAGAGGTTGAAAGGATAAAGTTCCTGTTTAGCGTGAGAGAAGCGGAATTTGATGAATCAGACTAGCTGGCTCATGTCCCTCCAAGCAATATTACACATCAGTCCCTTTTTGGCAACTTGGTTGGACAGTCACTTATATTTTGCAATATGCAGTATGCAAACACTCCTTGACCTGGAAGGCAGGTGGCACTTTGTATTCATGACCTGATAAATCTCCACGGGAAGACACCCAGAGTGGGTTCCATTTTCTACTTGGGTAGGCAAGCCAGCAGATGAATGACATCTGGGTAGCTTTTGCCGTTTGCAATTCACTGGTGTGTGAGATGGACAAATGAGCAATTGAAGATACTCTGAATAGTCTTTTCACATGTCTCCATGCCACCATTGTCAGTGGCTCCATGTTGACCGCGCTGCCACAGACAAGGTCAAAGGACAGTTTTGGTCCCGCTCGGCAGACAGAGCGGCTGCCTGTCTGCTCGCTCAGCTGTGCCGACCGTAACACAGCAAGGAGGGTCCCGCTGCATAATTGGTGATGTGTAAAGCGGACGTCTATAATTATGCAAGTTACAGAACAAATATGTGCAGTCATCGGCCCGCCTGAGGACTGAGAGTCTGAGCTCTGTTAAAGGATCAAGAGAGGATGACGCAGATATCCAGGAGCTGCACAGACACACACGTGTGGCTGCATCGCGTGGGCAGCACGAGTGGGGAAACAGCAGCCTCTTTGCTAGCTGGCCCGTGACAGCCGTTGGTTTATGCACATCTGGCCCAGGCACCAGAGGATGCCGTGCCTCTTGCGTGCCTATCTGGGCTCTTCAGCCTCACCTGGCCCCACCAGCCTGGTGAGATGAGCAGGCTCAAGGCTTCCCCTCTGGTTTTCTGCTGCAGCATCAACCCAGGAGGAAGGGGACAAGACAGTGGAGACCAAGAGAGGAAAACAAACCATTCCCCAGGGCACTGCACCAGGCTGGAGAGGAATCTGTCCCACATGGCTCTTCGGAAAACACATGCAACTAAGGACAGACATTGCCAGGAGACCCTTAACAGGAGTGACAGACATATGGTTTGCAGGCTGTATCGAGCCACGGAACAGCTTCATCTGGCCTGCAGACTTCCTATAAATCCTCAAACACCGCTACATAATGCTGAGGGGCACGGAGGGGCCGGTGACCAGGCTGAGGCTGTCCCAGGCTGCTGAGCTGATGCGATGCAGCCCAGCACCAGTGCCATCACCACTGGGGCAGCCTCTGCACTCCCACCACCCCAATTAGCTTGCCCAGCCATGCTAAAATCTAACTGGAAATAGCCATCCATGTGAGGGTTTTAGGGAGGAAGATTAAGAGGCTCGCCATTAGCACTGCCTGGTGTGCTGAGTGCGTGACAGAGGAACTGCACACCCCAGGACCAGCGGATCATCTCCCTCCCTGATTAACACTCCTCTCGCCTGAGCCGAGGCATTACGTCAAGTTCAGAATTTAAGATGTGCTGGGGTCCTCCTGGGCTTTGGTGGCAGCTGGGAGATGCCTGGGGGTTGTGCAGGAAGAGAAGGGATGCCCGGGAAACACCTCCCTGCTTGGCTCTGGTGGACAAACACTCAGGTGAAAATTTGCAGAGAAGGGGAATAAAAGGGCACATTCTCTCCCTGTCCTGCCTCGCTGTCCCTGTCCTGCCTAGAAGCCAGGGTACAGGGCTGAAACCTCCTCCAGCCAAGGCAGAAGCCCACGGGGCAGCTGTCAGCGGATCATCTCCCCAGCTTTCAGCCTGCAGGGCAAATGCAGAAGACCTGAGTTTATGAAGGGGCACTCACCTGGTGGCAAAGGGCTGGCTGCTGGAGATGAAGGAGGTGGAGCAGGCTGGGGAGGCACCAGGAAGATCAGGAGGGGCTTTGGCGAAGGAGATGGACCGAATGGGACCCACTTTGCTGTGGCTGTAGCAGATGAGGACCTGCAGCTGTCCGTCGTAGAACTTAACCTGACCGTTCACATCCCCTGTTACTATGCAGCTGCAAAGAAAGGAACGCTTTTAACCAACATGCTGGTTGAGAACTCCCAAATATTTCTGGGATAGTATCCTCCAGCAGAAGCAAATCTCTTCCCCTTTTCTGTGCACCAGTGCATTGGGAGAGCCCTGTACAGACGTGCAGGGGGAAAGCCCAGGGCTGTGCAGAAACCACCAGCCTCTGCTGTGACCCTGCAGCGTCCCTGGTCCCGTCCCCTGCCTTGTCCCTAGGGCTGTCAAGGCGTTTGGTGGCCGTCTGCTCCCTCTGCCGGTAAAGGCCAGGAGGCGAAGGAAGACCTATCCACCATCCTCCCTGACCATGGCCAACCCCTCTCTGTGTCTGAGCTACCCCAGCAGAGCTGGGATCACAGTACAGGGAGTTTTCAATTTTATTTTCTTTTTGCCTCCCAGCCAAATTCATTGCTGGAAAAAGCCAGAGCAATGGCTCATAAATCAGCAGCACTTTCCTGCATGAATTTCCCTGGCACTTGTAGGGTGCCAAGCGACTTAAAGCCGTAGTTCACCAACATGAGCTCTGCCGTTCCTGCAGCTGAGGACTGTACGTCCGGCTACTGAAAGCTGCCATCCCCTTACCACTCGAACACCTTGAGCACAGTAAGGCTGTCCTTCTGCAGAGGCACCAGTTTGGTGGCCTTCATGCTGTGCGGCTTGGCCGGCGGTTCCTTGGAGGGTATGCAGGGACTGGCCGCTTCCCACACCACCAGCTTCCCAGCCGAGGTGCCTGTCAGAGCTTGCGAGTTGTTGAAATGAAAAACCGACTGGCTGAAGTGTCCCACCACACTGTTGAAAGTCTGAGGAGAGAAAAGCAAGGCCGTGCATTCATCCTGGGCTCTGGCTCTTCCCTCCTCAAGCAGGGATGTTCCTGCTTGGTCTCTTGTGTCACATTCCCTCCCTGTCCCATGGCAGGACCATCAAAGGCAAGAGCCCCAGAGGAAGATGCAGCAGGGCATCTCTGGGAGAGAGAGTCCCTCTTGATCTCAGCTCAGTCAATCCTAGCTTGTCCATTTGGGAGAATGAGGAGGACAGGCTGGGGACGCGGCCACTGGTTTTGCTTAAGGTGATGGGAAGGGGAGGGCTGCTGCCGGGAGAAAAGCCAAGAGCGTGATGTGCAGGCGTTCCCGTTGTGCTCACCCGGCTGCTCAGGAGTGGTGTTCCGTACTGCAAACCAGCGTCACTCTGGGGAAAGTGGAGAAAACATCCAAGACAAGCATTTTGGAGCCATGCTTTTCAGTCCCAGCAAGTCCCCTCCCCATCATCTAGGCACTGGCCCTGTGCCATGGTGACCAAAGCAGGGTTCCTGGAGCAGAAAGGCTCCAAGACCTTCAAGAGAGCACAAAACACGCTCCCTCCAGCTGCTTCTCACCCAAAAGCTGCTGACGGGCGTGTTGCCTCGCTAGTGTACAGCTCCCAACCCTCTGGGAGCATAAATACAACTTCTCGTGACTTTACTTACCCACAGGTAAAATATCACCTGGGTTTTGCTGTTGCTGACAAACTCATAGGGATTTTGAGAGTTAAAAATGACATAATCCTGCAATTAAAAGGTGAGAATCGCATTAACAACAAGCCAGGCAATGCTTTCTGCTTATTCTTTCAGGCAAAGAATCTTCTTTTACCCAAAACCCACTCCAACCACCTGCATTGAATTGGAAACAGAGGCCAAATTCCCCATGAAACACTTGAGCTGTGCTCTCTCCTCTATGAGCATGGCCGTGGGCTTTTCCTGCCCTGGCCAGTGCCATGACTGCAGTGGGGCACATCCCGCTGGGGTCCCCTCCACGTCCCGTGTCTGTCCGTCAGCAGAGAAGCACCCATCACAGCCCCGAGATGCTCTGTTGTGTGGGGGTACAGCAGGGATGGGGTGTGATCCTGCCTCCCATCTCCAGCCAGCATCTACCACAGCCCTATACTGGGTGGGAGCTCAGGGGTGCAGGTGAGGAGGGGGCTGCCCAGTTCAGCCCAGTCACGCTCTTCTGCACCCCTCGGCCGCGGTCGCTCACCTGATACCCAAACTCAGGCCTCAGCTCCGTGCTGCACAGGGGTTCCTCTGCAGTCGAAGTCCACTTCCAAACACAAACTCTCTGGCAGAGAAGGGAAAACCCAGGGGACAAGTGTGGTTTTCTGGGAGCTCCAGGGAGTTGCATGAACCCCGTTCCCTCCAGATGTAGGGGATGGGGAGCATAAAAGACCAGAGCAGGATAAACCCAACATGATGTGGCAGCGGAAGGCTTAATTTCAGGAAATAACGATAGAAATTGCTTCAATAAAAGCTCGTTGGAATCAGAAGCTTTTAGCTCAGCTTAAGACCCATTCTCTCAACTCCACAGCATTCCCTGTGATGGAATCCAGGTCTGTCTTCCAACAGCTCAGCAAAAACAAGCCATTACTCTGCAAACACACTCCAACTCCCTTCTGCTCTCCCCATCCAAACACCCCCCCCTGCCCCGCTCTGGGAAAACAACTCCAAGGTTCTACCCCACAAGGCTACAGAAGAGGAGGTATTTTGTTTACCTGCACTTTACCAGCACTAATGGTTGCCAAATACTTCGCATCCTGGGAAATAGCAATAGCACTGACTCCATCCTCTGGATGGCTCCCAAAGATGGTGCGCACCGGTATCCTATGGAGCAGAGCCCTCATGGGCATTCATAGAAGCACAGGGAGCTTGGGGCAATTGCTCAGCAAAAATCTGTGGCATAGCCCACCCCAGTCTGTGAGGAGAAGGTCTGCAAATGCCGCCATGGGTGCAGCCAGCATCATGGCTGATGCTCAACATCCTCTCCATCCCTTCCTCTCAAGTAAATGGCTCTGGGAAACGACTCATTAGTGATGCTTTTTTAAGAACAGACCACAGCTTGGGATATGGTGTAATTCATCTGGGGGAGCTGAGCCCCGTCTCAGTGTCCCATGGATGTGGGTGATAGGAGGATGATAAAGCCTTTGGCTCAGTTTTGGCTCCTTTGCTGCTTTACTCCACCCCTATGTTTCTCCCATCTCCCTCTCAGCTGAGGCTGGAGTCAGTCCTAACCAACTTACAAGGACACAAGAGGTTCCTGAAGAGCAGGTTCCTGGGACCTTACCCAGAGTAGGAGTCCCATATGATGACCAGAGCATCTGGCCCTCGGTCGGCGGTTGCAACCCAGCGCCTGTCTTCACTCACACACAGGCAAGAAATAACATTTGCGTGGCCCTGGGGAAGGAGAAGCGAAGTGCTGTGGAGGTTCCTGACCTGGGAGCTTTTTAAAGCATCCGTCAAACTGCTTTGCTCACAAGCTCCCCTTGTCTTCCCTCCCCCAGGGTCCTCCCCTCACATTCTTCCAGCCCAACTTTTGCATCCCATTTTTCACAGGCTCTTCTGAGCCTGTCACCTCATCGTTGTGCCTTGTGCTGGCTGCAGCATCCCGAGCTGAGAAGCAGCAGAGGAGGAGGCTGTGCTGGTCATGGTCACCATCCAACCCAGAGCACCTTCCACCAACAGGGGCTGGGAATTGCAACAAGTGTGCGAGAAAACAACGCACTCCTTCGCATGGGCTGCTCCTTGATTTCGTTAGAGATAACCCCTAAGTGCTGGGCACTGGGAAAAGGACAGAGAGAGAAAATTCAGGAGGAGGAGAAGGAGGAGGAGGGAAATGCATGAGCTGCATGCCAGACCTGCAGGTGGTACTGCCTGTTCCCCAGGACATCGTGGATGACAGCCGTGTGTGAGGAGACGTACAGGATCACCTGGTCCTCCCCATCCATCAGGCTGTGCACGGCCAGGCTGCTGTTGTAGCCAAACACCCAGGACAGGCTCTGCAGGGAAGAGGCAGAGCTTTTGTCCCTGGTGCTTAGCAGCTAGGACAAAAAAGCCAGAAAACACCTCTGGTGTGATGGGAGTGAGCTGGGCAGAAGTGCTGGGCACTGCATGGACCATTACAGCGGCACTGTGCCTGCTGAGACTCACGAGAGGGTGAAGGCTGGTCTGCTTGTCCTCCTGGAAGAGCATCCCCGGCGTGGCTGCCCACACCAAGCTGGCAGAGCCATCCCCGCTCCTCTGTTGCCTGTCCTGCTCCCTGCAGCCTGAGTGAGGGCTGGAAATGACCTCCTTGGGCTCAAGCAGCACTGGAGGTGGTTCAGTGGCTCCAGTAGCCTCCAGGCATGATGTCCCAGCAGTCCTCGAGGTGGCTGTGTCCTGCCTCCCAGCCCAGGTGCTGGGCAGGGTGCCTGGGATCCCCATCCCTGAATGAGACCACACGGGACCCAACAGTGCGGCTGCTCCAGCATCCTCCGGTGCTCCTTTCTTCTCCTTGGCAGTAGGGAGGGGTGCCTTGGAAAGGGAGAGAGGTTTTGGTGTGTCTGCAGCTCGTGGGAACGCACCCCAGCACGTCTCACATCCAACCTACATCATTTTCGGAGAAGGCTCCAATATCAGGAAACTCTCTGCTCCTACACTGCCTATGGATTTGTACCAGTGAAAAATTTCCCACCAGCTGCTTCCTCTCTTTCTGCACATTGACGTTGCCCTCTTTGCACCTCTACAGCACCATGTGTCTCACATCAGCATCTCTTCCAGCCAGCTCCTATCACCTGGGCTATGATGCCCAAGTTTCTCTTTGATGACCTGCAAGTCCTTCGGAGGCAAAAGGGCTGGGCTTTTTGCTGTCTGTCTCCTGACTGTTCTACACACACGTTATTAGTTGCTGCAATAGGGCATATGGTCATGGGTTGGAGAGGGAGTGATGGCAGACTGAGGTTAAAAACAGCAAAACCAGGTCTTGGGGCTGAGATGGCTGTGAAGGGCTCTGCAGCAATCCCAGCTGCTCAGGGAGCAGATGGAAAGCAAGGGTAAAAACCCCCGTGCCACCTTTTTCAGCCCCTCACCAGCCTGTTAATAAATGTACTAAATATTCCTGGGGTGTCAGAGCTCGCAGCAGCCCCTGGACAGGCCTTATGAAGTCTGAGCACCAGCTACTTAATCTTGTTTTCGGGATCCACATTGGCTTTTGCTTCTCCCTTGGGCTCCTTGATTTCCTATGGCAATCTCTCCTGTGAGGTATAAACCTCCTTTGGACACCGTTTCTGTCTCTGAGAGAGGTAAGATAACACTTCACTGAGCGCAGGGACGAGGCCAAGTTACCTCCTGCTTGTGTAGGTCTCAGGCAGCTCAAGTGCTCAGCAAATATTAATGACTGGCCTGAGACTACACAAGAGATGCTGCATCTGCTGAGCCCCACTGGTGGGGTCCCTGCTCCACCTCCCCGGGGATATCTTGGGAGAAACCACCTCTGGGAGATATTTCCCTTCTGGTACTGGAGTTGGGGGCTCTGCTTCCATGGGGACCTGCCCGCAGACCCTGTGTCAGACAGGGCTTTGCTATGCTGCTGTCCTCACCTCCTCAGGCAGCACAGCCGTCTCCTGAGCTGTCTGTCCGTCCTGGGACATCTCTATGGGCTGGCTGCTTTCTCCTGCTCTTCCGCCAGCTGGCTTCTCTGGTCTAACTTCACATGAGCCATCCATCCTCATCACCTTCACCCTCCTTCCAGAGAGCTGAAGCACAGAGATGCTCTGAAATACTTCCCCTCCTCCCCGGGTTTGGCTGCACAACGACCTGGAATTCAGCACAGCCAGAGGAAAGGGCACCCCTGAAGCTGGAAATGGGTCCCAGAGCCCCTTTTCAGCTCCAGGAATGCTCCTGCCAAACACAAACAAGCCCACCACAGACCCAGTTACTCCAGTTGTGATCAGGCTCCCTCCCAGTCTGCCTGCACGCCGCACCGGGCACGGACGTTGCCCCTCAGAGGGGGTTTTGTCACCGTTCCCGTAAGCAGCAGCGCTACTCCTCGTTCATCTCTGGCTTCATGGGTCTGGACGGGAGCCAGCACTGAAACTTCATGCACAGAAAGGGAAAGGGAAGGGGGAAAAATGAGGGAAGGAAGGGGGAAAAGCCTCCCTCTGGAAGGGAGAAGGCTGCTCAGGGACAGCCGCGGCCCCGCAGATCCCAGCGGGGTCAGTGCAGAGCCATTCCCAAACCACTTCCAGGCTTGGGTGCTTCCCTAGTTTTTCAGTCCTCCCACTGCCCCTTGGGGCACCCCAGGGACCCCAGCGCTCACCGTGACACCAGTCCTGCTTCTGTTTGCATCCGACTGCCGTTCCCAGGCAACGTCCAACGGCTGCACCAACGGCCGGGAGGGAAGGGGGACCCTCCTTATCCCCACCAGTGGGGAGGCAGTGCTGACCCTCTGTCCGAAGCAAGAACCTGGTGCTGGGGCAGGGGATATTCAGCCCTTCACCCCACCCAAGCCCAAATCTCCCTCGTGGCTGTGACAAAGCCCCTCTTGGCATCGCCAGACCCCTTCAGGGCCAAAGCCTCGCCCTGCCCAAGGAACGAACGAGATGAGGGGTCTTTACCCGTTTTCCCCCTCCCCAAGGGGTGGTGGGCAGTTTCTGCTCCCTTGCCACAAACTGAGTCCGAGTGAGAAAAATCAGCCTCCAGCCACAGCCGGGTCCCCTCGCTGTCCCCAGCTTCCTGCCAGGGGTCCCCATTCCCAGGGGTCAGCCCGAGCTACCGCCTTCGCCATCGCAGACAATCAGCTCTAAGCTCTCTCAAATGTTGGCTTCGGTCTGGCTGTCAAGCTCAAATAATAGCAATTTCTAAATCTAATTTGTTTTTTCCTTCTGCCCAGCAAGAGCCTTGTACCCTGCTGGGACAGGAAAGGAGTTTCTTTACCAGCTCACTGTCTCCTCTGCCTGAAGAGGCTGCGTCATCAAAATGCGGCTACTCTCAACTCCTCCTCCGCAGCACAACCTGCTGCTTGGAGTTTTTTGGCTTCAGGAGCAAAGATTTGATCCGTAAGCCCCATCTCTGCTACGTGCAAGAAGGCAGCCTTGTTAGGTGTATCAAGCTTGCTCAGACATGGTGCTTTTCTTCGCAGCCGGCAGCATCCAGTCCGTGTTCCCTGATCGTATCGGATACAGGGAGCCATCTGTGCTCTCCAGCACAAAAAACCTGTTCATTCTGACTGAGAGCAGCTCCTCTTCCGCTCCACTCCTATGGCAAAGGTTTGAGCATGGTCTAAAGAAGCTCAAACCTTACCCTACGCACAGCAGGTTCTGCAACATAACCTGTTTTTATTACACTTGTTGGGGTTGTTCAACTCGTTCTAGTCAGGACACCCAGTGGGAGGGGCTGGCATTAGGACACACAGTTAGAGGATGTGTTTTTACAAAAGCCCTGCAGAGCTGAGAGCCCTCTGAAGCATGCAAATATTCTCCTCGCTGGAAGGCAGATGAGGTGCCCGAGAGCAGGAATTAACTTGGCTGATGGGGCTGGGCTGACCCCATAACCTCATTTCAAGAGCAGTACAGAAAGCTGGGATTTTCTAGATCATTTCATCCCGGGAGGCACAAATGCAAAAGCCTGGAAGGATGCATCCCCCGAGTTTTTTTTTCTCCTGGACCACATCTAGACCCAGATTCATCTGCAGCTCGTGTAACAGTCTAGCTATTGCCGGGCTAGCCAGACACACTTCCCAGACAGACATGGCCAAGGTCAGCCCTTGACATTTCGGCTGCCAGTTGATACCCAATTTATGCACATACTTACACGTTTTATAGGGACAGAAGATAGGGGCAGTTTGCAGATAGTCACGTGTTTAGAAACTGCAGCAGCACCTGCAAACATGAAAAACAAGGCTCCCAAACCTGACGCAACATGCATTTAAAAATTCTTGGTTTTAAGCAAGTCTTTGGACACCATGGTCCCAAAACACCTCCCACTCTCAGTTATTCAAGAAAGGAAATGGAGCAAACCAGTGCCATGTTTCAGCCCTTTTAAAGTGACCTGAAAGACCAGGGTGAGACGGTGTCCGATGGGGATTATGCAGCTCTAATCTCACCCAAGGAGCTGCTGCAGTGACTCACCCACCTCAGCACCGTGAAGCCCGCAGGAATCACCCAGCACCAAGCTTTGCTGTGAACCTTTACCACTTCACTGAGAACCTGCTCTGTCAGACTGAAACACAAAACACTTGAAATACCAAAAAAGGGCAAAACCGACTCAATTTAACTCAGAGCCCGGGTGAGCAATTTAAGTGTCTTTTTCAGTCTACTTCAAGTCTGGTTAATAACAAATATAACAAAATTGCTCATGACGTGTCCTGTGTCACTTATGCCACAACCTCCGTACGAAGCATTAATAAAAGATTTGCACCTTACCTGGGCTTCGGCTCTGGAAAGTCAAGGGGTCCTGATTTTGTGTCTGTTCAGATCTGTGTTTAACCCACCCAGCTTGGCCCAGATTTTTTCCCCAAAGTAACTTCTACAAGAATGGGGTGAGGCGTAACTCAGTTTTATTGTTTCAGAAGAGTATTTCAAAGTTCAACTGGAAACAACCTTAAAAAAAAACCCAATCATCCCCCAAATCCCCTCAAAGTGTTTTTGCACACTAAAAACAACTACTGCAAATAAACAAATTCAAAAAAAATAAATAAAAGAAGGAAGCCAGATTAGGAGTACTTTTACAACTATACAAACTATTAATGTAAATCAAAGTAGAGTTACAACCCGTATTTCCTGTCTCATTAACTTCAAATAATTCAGCATTTCAAAAATTCTTTCATCATGTTTAGAGACTGCAAAAGTTGTGCTAACATGGGGAAGATATAGTAACAAACTTGCATATTCCTTGACTGTCATCTGCTATTACAGACACTAAAAAGCGCTCTGGAACTTTTTAGCATATATTACAAGATACTCAGTGAGGAATTTTACAGGGGAGAAAGAGGAATGTTCTGTTATCACCAAGTGAGAACATCTCATGCACTTCAGAGCCTGTATCAAGTGAAGTTTGGTTCTCTCTGCAGCCTCATTCCAAACTCACACGAAGTGTAAGAGATAAGAAACCACATCTCACAACTCTGCAAGCTACTCCCGACGAACCAGTGCAATTCTGCTCTATCAGACCACCTTCAGCCTCTGCGGGTCTGGCACCTAGAGGTCACATTTGTTTCAGCAAAAACACATAGGAAAGTTTTCAAACGAGACCAGAGTCCAGAAAGCAGGCACAAACTTCAGCTTTATTGTTTTCCAAGCAATGGTCATCTTTGCAAAGGCAGGATGTTGCAGCTGAAAAAGAAAGGAGAAGCAAACATTAAAAACTCAGTTCTAAAAGAAGCACAGAAGATCTGACATGACATGAATCAGACCCACCACAACCCGCTTCCTCTGCCAGACAAACTA